ATATATATCATTAAACTCATGGGAATAGAACACATCTCATAATTCACGAGACATACACGCGTCCCATCTCTCTTTCTCTCTCTCGCAGTTCCCATTCGAGCTTTATCTTCTTCTCGTTGTTCCACCGGTACAAGATCAAGAGGTGTTTGAGATATATACAATAAAAGATCTGTAGGTAAACCGAGACAAAATATATTTTATCGTACAAAATTAGCCGGAGGTCCGATCAGGGCATGCAGCATACCCAGACGACCGCCTCGACGATATCTTTCCATCGCTGCCAAGATCGCCGTCGACCGACGCCGCACGCGCGCTCACGCGCCGCCGGAGTGTCCCAGAAGTTCCGTTTCATCCGTTTTGCACCCGTTTGATTCGGTTTTCGATCCGATCTTGTTTGTGCAACCTTAAGACGTAATTTGCAGTCAACTATTCATTGGTGTGCTGTGTACGACCATCCAGAAGGTCAGCCAGATCGCCATAAATTTTAAGCCGTAAGTTTTCTACGTCAAACTTTTAGATTCGTTGCGCATAGGTTTACGTATGCTATTGAATTCGTGATTTGTACATAAGGAGATCCATAGATCCCAACAAGGACTTCATCGAAGAAACATTGAAACTTGTTGGGTTCCCTAGCAAGTTGGTAGCGGCTGTTATGGCCTGTGTGAGATCGGCTTCAATGAACCTGTTGTGAAATGGGGAGATTTGTGATGAATTTAAGCCGTCGAGAGGAATCCGTCAAGGAGACCCCATGTCTCCATATTTATTTGTTTTGTGCATGGAGAGGTTGGCACAGTTGATCTGTGAACAAGTTGAGGGTCTAAGGTGGCGACCTATTTCGGTTGGGCGAGGGACAGTCTCAGTTCCCTTCTTGATGTTCGCTGATGATCTTCTGCAATTTTTGGAGGCTTCAGATGATCAGGTGCTACTTCTACATCATGTCATGAGTCTCTTCTGCGAACCATCAGGGCTAAAAATTAGCCCGTAGAAGACGCAAGTGTTGTTCTCCCATAAAGTTGAGACCCATGATAAACTTCGATTGGCGGGCTTGCTTAATTTTAGATTAACGGATAATTTGGGGAAGTATATTGGGATGCTATTGATTCATGGTAGAGTGACAAAGGACACATATGCTCATATTTTGGATAAAGCGGAGTCCCAACTCACGGGTTGGCGCATGAAGACGCTCTCAATGGCTGGACGAGTGACCCTCACTCAATCGGTACTTAGCACTTTACCTTTTTATGCTATGTAATCATCTAGGCTCCCTTGTGCAATTACAAACGGGTTTGACAAGAGATGTCGCGCTTTCGTATGGGGTGGGTCTGATGTGAAGAGGAAAGTCCACTTGGTTGCTTAAACGTCGTCTAAAGCCGAAGGGGTTCTTGGCGTTCAAAACCTTCTTTTGATGAATAGCTCACTGTTGATGAAACTGGGATGGGGTTTGCTGACGAAGGAAGACTTTCTTTGGTACGTGTACTTACGGCAAAATACAATATCGCCCCCTCAACGGCCATAGAAACTCTTCATTTTCGATAGAGCTCGACGTTGATGCGCGCTATTATTAAAGAGTGGCCTCATGTGGTGAAGGGTGTGCGCTGGATTGTCGGAGATGGCAAAACTGTCTGTTTCTAGCTCGATCCATGGTTGGGCTCGGTGGGCCCTCTACGATTTATTACCACTAGCGAGCCCCTTGCGGAGATTCTTTTCTTGACGGTGGCTGAGATGGTAAACGATTTTGGTGACTGGAAATGAGAGTTCTTTCAAGGCTTTCTTCCCGCATCTACGCTTATGCGCATAGCCGCCACGCTTCCCCCACGAAGGACGGCAGGCGCCGACCGGCTAATTTGGGGTCTCTCTATCGATGGACGATTCACTACGAAGTCCGCGTGCGAGTCACGATTACACACCGCGAATGAATCGGCTTCGCCTCTTTGGAAGCTCATTTGGCGAGTTATGGCGCCACAACGGGTTCATAATTTTTTATGGCTCGCTAGAAAAGAGCGTTTACTTACCAATGTGGAGAGAACTCTGAGACACTTAATCAGCTCGGAGGCTTGCAATTTTTGTGGTCGTAGTGAGACAGTTCTTCATGTGTTACGTGATTGCCCTTTCATCAAGGACCTATGGTTGCGACTGCTCCCGGCGGCCCATGAAGCTGTCTTCTTTGAGCAGCCCCTCAGATTATGGTTCATAAGAAATCTAGCTAAAATACGATTGGGACCGTTTACGAATTGGAGCAGTCTATTCTCGACCGTGGTTTGGAGAGCGTGGGCCTGGAGAAATGAACGCATCTTTAACAACTGGACCTTTGGTTGTGAGGAGCGGAGAGTGGAGATCTTAAACCGGATGGAGACTTACACTCGCTCGGCCGCGGCCTCCGCTACGACATGGGCGGAGTTGAACCGTTTTGATACTCATTTAATTCATTGGTCCCCGCCAGAGCCAGGGTGGGTTAAATTAAATACAAACGACACCTTTGATAAATCCTTTGGGCTAAGTAGTGCTGGTGGTGTTCTTCGAGATGAGATGGGCCGATGGACTATGGGATTTCTCATGAACATAGGGTATTGTACCATCACCGGGGCCGAACTTTGGGGTCTTTTTCAGGGGCTGCAAATTGCATGGGATAAGGGTCTCCGTCACGTTATTGCAGAGGTCGATAGCTAGTGTGTGGTACGCATGGTCCTGGGGGCTGATAGTACATGTGGGGCGAATGAAGCTTTAGTCAAGACCATTCGTTGTTTGCTTCAACGGGAGTGGAGTGTGAAACTTCGACACGTGCATAGAGAGGCTAATTTCTCGGCCGACCACTTGGCAAGCTTAGCGTCTTCTTCTTCGATTGGCCTTCATTTGGTGTCTACTCCTCCCCCTAGCTTGGGTGTTTGACTCGAGCATGATGTGATAGGGGTTTCTTACCCCCGCCGAGTTCTCGTTTAATCGTTAGGCCTTCGGCCTCCTTCTTTGTACCAAAAAAAGCTTAACTACACAACGTAAACATTTGATCCAACAGTTGATAAATATCAACCACATGCTTCGATTTGCGATAATAAAATTTTTATTATCAGAATTGAAAGATTTAGATTTATTTGTTAATGAAATAGATGTTGAGATTAATTTTTTAAATAAAACATTATCAAATCAAATAGTTTTATAAAATTGCTTATCGTTACTCTGTCTCAACTCCAACCTTAGCTCAGTTGGTAGAGCGGAGGACTGTAGTCGGTTTCACCCGTTAGATATCCTTAAGTCGCTGGTTCGACTCCGACAGGTCGGATTCTTCTTTCTTTTAATTTTATTATTATTATTATTATTATTATTATTATTATTATTATTATTATTATTATTATTATATATTAATATTATTATTATTTTATTTACTTTTCTGCTTATTTTCAAAGTTGGCTAGGCCTGATATTCGTTCACCCATGAGCTAAAACAACCAAATATTCAATTATAATTGCAAAAAACTAATGAAAATCTTGTTTACACATCTACTTAACCTAACATAAATAATTTTAAAAATTTTATATTGACATATGTTATTCCACGAATCCTCTTTTCCCACAATAACTGTTTGGTAAATAGCATATGGTATAGCTATTTTGAAAATTTTATATTGACATGTTATTCTACAAATCTTGAAATGAAAATCTTGTTTACACATCCTCTTCCTGCAATGATTATTTGATAAATAGCATATTGTTGACTATATTAAAAAATTGTATATTAAACATGTGATTTTATGAACTCTCTCTTTTTTTCTTTTTTCTTTTTCACAACGATAGATTTTATACTACCAAAAGAGTAATTATCGTATATACAAATCCTCTCCTTTTCAAAATGATCATATGTTGAGTTTTTTTTTAAACATTTTGAACATAAAAATTAATCAAATATTTTATTTAAAAACTTAATTAGTTATTTTTTTAGAATTAACATTTTGAACATAAAAATTAATCAAATATTTTTTTTAACAAATTAATTAATTAACGATTTGAAGGAATAAACTTATATAAAACAAAAAAAAAAAATCAATTCATTAAGTTTAACCAAACCTTCACTAATTTTATAAGCTAGCGTTCAAATGAGTCCATTATCATTGGTCCAAAATAAATAAGATAAAATACTTCTCCTCATATTTCACTGCAAAAAGCCGAAGAGAGCGAGAGAGATGGCTCGGAGCATCACCTACATCACCGGTTCTCAGCTTCTTTCTCTCCGCCGCCGCTCAAATATCGCCGTCGTCGACGTCAGGTACAGTTGAAAGTTACAGTCTCTGCTTTTTCCTTAATTCTCTCTCTCTCTCTCTCTCTCTCTCTCTCTCTAAGAAATTCTAACCATTTTTTTAAACGAAATAAATTAGGGACGATGAAAGGAGCTTCGACGGTCACATAGCTGGTTCTCTGCACTTTGCCAGTGATACGTTTGCCGATAAATTGCCTGATCTTGTTGAAGCCACCAAGGATAAGGATGCTCTTGTTTTCCACTGCGCCCTAAGCCAGGTCAATTTATTTTCCTTAGAGCTCTCTCTTGTCTTTGTTGCCATGGATTTTATGTGATTTTTGAGTTGTCAGTGGTTGATTCTGGGTGTTTTTGCTTGAGATATTTTGCCTGTCAGATGTTAGGTTAAATGTTGCGAAAAATTAATATAAATGTGTTGCCATTATTGATAGGGATTTTTCTGTGATTTTTGGTTGTCATGGTTGATTTGGGGTGTTTTTTTCTTGAGATATTTAGTTTGTCGAAATTGGGTTCCAGTTGTTGACCTATGAACATTGTGGAAATTGGATAGAATACTGGATATAAATTTTCTGTACTTGTCTATGGAGTTTGGAAAACTTGTGCCTACCGGTTTTTTTTTTTTTTTTTT